TGGATAATGTCAGTTCCTTTTCCCATCTTTGTTATTATCTGTAAATTATAGATTTTAGCAAATTTATCTACTAATAATATACTTTATATATGTAGTAGTAGGAGAGGGGAAAATGAAAGAGAAGGGAATTTTAAAAAATTATGTGACATAGCAAGCAAGACATATACAGATAGCATCCAAAAACCTCACTCATGCATTTTGACCAAGCAGGCATAATTTGCACATGATGATAGAGTGCTGCTGGGTACACCCAGCTTTGTGGCTTGGAAGATCAGTCCAGTCACTGAGGCCTGCCATAAGGTTTTTCCAGAATCCAGATCTTCCACACAGGCTTTAAAGAGTGTAGGATCTGCTGGGTCGTAGCTGAGTGGCAGAGCACTTCAGTATGGACAGATAAGCTGTATAGTGATTATTCCTCTGGGCCTACCCATAGTTCCTCCTTGCCAGGCAAGTGGGTAGAAGCAGATAAATGGTCTAAAACCCTTGTAGTATATGTCACCTTCAGAATCCCAGAGGTATCAGCCAAGCATTTTGCTTTTTAGCAGGTGTAAGGTATAGCACTTATCATTCACTTTCTTTTTTGTTTGTTTATTATTATTAATTTTGAGTCAGTAACTAGTACACATGGCATTAAATTGAAAAGGTGCAAAAAGGTGTACAGTAAAAGTACAGGAAAGGACATTTCCTTTCCTGCACTTATGGTCCATCTACTTAGGTCTCCACAATGGAGGCAACCACTGGTACTAGATTCTTGTGTATCTTCATTTTAAAGGGCATATCCTGACCAGACCACAGACCATTGGATTACAAGAAACTTCCTGAAGTGGCAGGCCCTGTATGTTCATGGGATTTATATCCCACCATATGGAATACAAACAAGGCACCCGTATCTTCCTACTTTGATCAGCCTGGTATCTTCAATATGGTAGACCAGTGTAATGTGCTATATCCAGAATTGATATCTTTGATTCAGGTGAAGGTCAACTGCTTTCTCATGTCCTCAGTTTATCCCCATGGAGAAATGCATTTACCAGCTTCCTAACTGTATTCTAGGTGCGAAGGGTAGTATTAATTTGCCCCAGTTAGGATTCATATCTAAAAATACACCTTGAGTTGGAGTCACCATTTGATTACGTTTATGACAGCCTAATATCACTAAGACCCATTGGCCCCTCAGCTGAGGAGTGAGGTTCTCTGCAAGTCATCAGATGTGTGACTTTTTTTTTCTTTTTGATAGTCAAGTGGTTTCACTTGGCCATTCCTACTAGAAGAGTATAATGATTCAGGACCCCTGTGTGAGGGTGATGCCTCATTGATCTGTATTACCTTCTTCTTCCATGGACTTCTGGTTTCCAGTTCCCTAATAGGAACAGAAGTTTCACTGTCATTTTACCTGACTTGGCCCAGTAGCAGTTCAAAATTCCCCTCCTTTCTCCAAAGGTCTGTTGTCTGCAGCCCACTATCTGGTATCAGTTTGTATCCGATACTGTATAACATCAGACTATATAAGTTTGTGTTCTTTTGTTGAATATCACAGAAACCAATAGTGGTTAATTTAAGCAAAAAAAAAAAAAAAACCCTATTGGACGGCCCCTGGCTAGCTGACAGAATTAAAGAGAAAGCTGAAAATTCATACCTTGTTAAGGAGATGGCATAGGGATTTAGACTAAGAGAATCTTTGAATGACTTAGTTCCACCTTTATGGCAGTCTGCTCAAGATTCGGATTCCCAGTAGAGAGTCTAGTTTGCCTAATTTGAATCATCATCTCACCCCTTGACTGATGGCACAGGTACCTTGATTAATGGACCTGCCAAGACTTGGGGAATATAGGGGAGATACTTTCCTAAAGGAAAAGTAAGGTGTTATAACTAAAAATGGAGGAGGGATGGTAAACAGGCAAAACCAACAGATGCCCATTCCAGAGTGTGCAGATTAGGTCAGCATTTCTCAGTAGGGGCATCGTTGGCCTTTGGGGGAAGACCATTTTCCCTTTTGAGCTGCTGTCCCAGTGCATTGCAGTGTGTTCAGCATGCTTGGCTCTTGGACAGTAAGTGCCAGCAGCACCTCCACTGCTACCATCACAACCAGGGTACCACCTGTTTCACAACCACTATCATCTCCCTACTCCCACTGACCCCACTCCCCAGATAGGCTGTGAAATAGAGTGTCTAGGACCACTGTACTGCATGATCCCTAAAGCTTTTTCCATTTAAAACAATCAGATGCATTTCCATTGCTAAACTAAAGGTTGTTTGTAATTTTGTCAAAATAAAATAGTTTCTTGTCTCTTCTATCAAAAAGTTCTTCAATTTGATGTTCCCAAATATCTAAACTGACTTACATATAGAGCCATATGAAACATGTTAGAAATTCATCAGTTTGTTTCTTCAGTTGATTTCTTTGTTTAAGGGCACGGACTTTCGAGCTTAAGTCTTTGAATTCAAATTCACAACCATAGCTCTGCTATGTACTAACAGTTACTTCCTTTGGCTTTTACATAATCTTTCTTTGGGCAATTGCATAATCTCTCTGTGCTTCTGTAAAATGAGAATAGTAGTACATACCCATTTCATAGGGTTGTTGTGAGGATCAAATTAGCTAGTATGCATAAGGTATTTAATATATTGCCAAGAGCATAGTAATTATATGAATGTGTAAGCTATTACTATATTGATAAAATGGTATATTAATAATTTTTACATAGATAACATAAAAATACCTTTAAAATTTCTTTTTGGGGGGAGTTACCTTTTAAAAATTAAATTGCTGTACCTGGAAAAGCATTTTGTTATAACATTTAGCTTAGAACTATACTTTGAAAAATATTTCCTCATTCAACATTTATTGAGTATTTCCCAGGCCTGGGCTAAATTCAAGGAAGACAGAGAATGCATGTACCAGTAGAGGCAATAATAACGGAGTGAACAAATAAATGCCCAGGGTAGTTAACCGGTGTGCTCAGAGCTGTGGAGGCATCAGCAGAAAGGCCTGGAAGGAGGGTTTGGTGTGTTGGTAAACAGATGAAAGGCCTGGAGTGGACTCTGGTCAGCTGGGGAGAGGCAACATAGGACATGGGAGGGTGTGCTGGAGCTATGTTTTACAAGGCCTTGGAGACTCTGGTAAGGAGCCGGTATCTTTTCTGCAGGGGGTTGAGATTTCCTTCCAAGGAGCGTATTGAAGGGGGTTTTGAGCAGGAGTGTACTAGGTCTGATTTACATTTGGGAAAGTTGTTTTTGTTGGCAGTGTAGAAAATGAACTGGAGATGAATAGGTGGGACCAGATAGAAGACTCTAGGGAAGAAATGGACAGGAATGGGATGGGATAGCAGTAGTGGAAATGGAAAGAAGTGAATGAGGTCAAATGAGATCACATATATTTATTTTAGAGGTAGAATTGACAGGTATTGGTGGTGGCTTGGACGAAGAAGATAGAGAAAGAGGAATCAGACATCTAGATTTTTGGCTATGTATGTGCCATTTGACAGTATGCATATATTCCCTCTATAATTAAACTTTTAAAAAATTTTATGGTGCTTTTCAAAACTAAATTTTTTTTTTTTTTTTTGTGGTACGCGGGCCTCTCACTGTTGTGGCCTCTCCCATTGCGGAGCACAGGCTCCGGATGCGCAGGCTCAGCGGCCAAGGCTCACGGGCCTAGCCGCTCCACGGCATGTGGGATCTTCCCGAACCGGGGCACGAACCTGTGTCCCCTGCATCGGCAGGCGGACTCTCAACCACTGCGCCACCAGGGAAGCCCCAAAACTAAATTTTTAGTACTATTTTAAAACATTCATCTTCCTGGTCTAGATTTTTTTTTGCACTGCAGCAAAATTGTACAATCTTCCTATTTTTTTTCTTATTTTCCTGTTTAGTAATGAAAACCTCCATTGTTGATGTTATTGGCGTTTAATTGGGAGCACTTTTATCTGTTAATTATTGCTGTTGTAGATTTAAACTCACTTACCACTTGCAGAGTAATCTTTTGAAATTAGATAGCTGAGTATTATCCCTGTCCCAGGAAACTATGAGTCTGTAAAAGCCTGCACCTGTTGAGAAGCAGCCTTCCCTTCTTTGCCCAGTATGCTTCCCATGGGTGTGGATGGCAAGGAGCTGGAATGGTGGTGAGGCATCTGGAGTTTATTTACCTATCTCTGCCTGAGGTACTCGCTCACTCTGCATGTAACTCCACTATTCTTTTTAACATGTACTTCAGATGTCGTAAGTCAGGTTTATGAGTTTTTATTTTCTGTCACTTAGGACTGGCATACCTCCTCAACAATTGGAGTTTATCTTATTTTGCCAAAATATGATTTCTTCTTGTGAATGGAGACCAAGCATATACAGCAGTCGTTAATTAAATTAAGCAGATTGTTCAAATTGGTGCATGTGGAATGAATTATTTTACTTTTTTCTCAGAATTGAGAAACTAGGAAGAAAATTCATTAGACAGTAATGCATAGAGATTTTTTTTACACCTAAATGAGAAGCCAGAAGTGCATATAAAACATAAGAACTTCAAAAACATTTCTTAGGCACAGACTATTATGAAACTCCCATGGATGTTTTTGATTTCCCATTACATTAAAATACTCAAATGAACTTCATATTCAGAACATTTAAAAATAGCTCAATCTTAAAAAGAAGATATAAAGTATTATCAGCTGTGCTTTTTGTACATGATTAGCATGTGCCTGTGGAGGTATAATGACTTTTAGTGTAATGATATTACTCATGATAAAAAGTTCAGATGGTAAAAGTTGGAGATACAGCTGGGTGACACATTTTAAAATAACTCAAAGATGACTTCACAGAAGGCATGCTATTTTGGTCCCTTGTAATCCTCCTTTCACTCATCAGTGGTATGAAGGCATTGATAAAAGATCCTTTTTTAAATGTTTCATTTCTTTCCCTCTTTCTTATAGATTTGATGTGTGTTCACTGTTACCTTCAGTGTGTGACAAACCACTGTGAAGGTACATCACCTTTTCCCTTTTTCTGAGATGGCTCAAGATTCAGTAGGCCTTCCTTCTGATTTTCAGTTTTGGATGCGCAAGCTTTCTGTATGGGACCAGGCATCCACTTTGGAAACCCAACAAGACACCTGTCTTCACCTGCCTCAGTTCCAGGAGTTCCTGAGGCAGTTGTATGAAGCCTTGAAAGAGATGGTGAGTAGTGGACCAAAATAATAAGGTTATTTTGTGGCATCAGGAACTCTTTACCAGATTTTATTAAGCCTGAATGCAGTCCAGGGACTTGTGGTATTGACCTAACGAAAGATTAGACAGACAAATTACCTGTAAATATTGCAGACAGGATGTGGTTTCCTAGTGTCTGATTCATTATGACTTCAGTCTTTTCTTTCTTGATTAGTTATATTGTCACATGAGACTTCCCGACCAATCAGGTTGTTTTTAAATAAACAAGACTTTGACACTTGTTGTCAGGTAATAATTGGGTTTCTTTTAAAGGCCTTTGTATCTCTTAAATATTGAAGGGTTTGCTGAAATGCTTACTCTTTTCTCAACCCTGTTCTAGAGTGGGCTCTACTAAGAGATGATAAATGTTAAGATCTCTTCTTTATAAATATTTTAGGTGGACTTTTCTTGTGAATATTAAGATTATGAGTGTCTTCACTATTGTTGTATAAGTTATTGTGTTCAGAATTTTGTATTTTTTCATTTTGACATAATATTTCTTACTTTCATTGCAATAGGTATTTTTTGAATTAATGTATTTTCATAATATCAAAATATTATTTGTTTATACTTATTTTCTAATTTCAAAATGAAAAGCAAAATTGTCATTTAATGTAGGTGTTCTTGTGTTATACTTTTCTTTCCTTAATCAAAGAAGCAAGTAGGAAATTTGAAGAATAATTCATAGTCATGATATGAGATCACGTCTTTAGAAAGAAGAAGAAAAGATACTGTCTGTATGAACAACTAATGCTAACTTCTTAAATTGTTTTTTGGCAATGAGACTTTTGTAACTTGACCTTAAAGTGATTCCAGAAAGTCCAGAACTGACCTTGATGCTCAGACAAATGTGAGGAATTTGTTGCTTCAGCAGTAGGAAATGCTTATCATTTCAGCTTACATGCATGTTAGTCCAGTTTGGTCTTATTTTTTAACTTTCTTGAAAGGTAAAGAAGTGGGAAAGGGCCAAGTGTACAACAGCAAGTGTATTTTTTAATCTTAAGCTGTTTTCTATTTGGTTGATTGTTTTTGTGTCAGATTTTAGGTCGTTGCAGACAAGTATAATGTCATTTAGCATATAGTAATCAAAATAGTAATAAACAGAGATATGTATCTATATGCTTTGGCTGCTTTTATTTCTTTTTACAAGTTCCAGAGTTCTTGTCCTGCTAAACCTTCTTTGAGACAGTGCTACTGGAGCTGACTCAGGAACTTCTCTTATTATGTTAGAAAAAAAAAGCCAGGATGAACATATGGTGTTATATAGATATTAATCACCTATAATTTTTTTTCACTATTATGCAGTCTTTGTTATTTTTTAGATAAAGTGGCCTTTCTTGACTTAAATATGAGTAAAAGAAAGTTAATGCTGCAATAATATTGATTTTACCTAAACTTGTTGTACTTCTTAGTTTTGGTGGCCTGGTTTAAGGATGAAGAATGGTGATTGCTTGTTAAACTTTATTAGAATTACTTATACCTAAAGATCTTCTCTAACCTTTTTCTCCCCCTACTTTTCTAAAATATATGCTGAACAAGAAACATTCAAGCTCCCTCAACCTATAATGGCAGTTCAGGCTTTTCTGAGTTGCGTAGTGTCCTTTTACTGACCAAAACATGACTTTCTTTTATAGGATTCAAGTGCAGTTATTGAAAGATTCCCCACAGTTGGTCAACTGTTGGCAAAAACTTGCTGCAATCCTTTTATCTTAGCATATGGTAAGAATCCAAAGCATGTCCTCTCAAAATACAGACTTCTAATGATAATTTTAATCTTTGCATTGTTTAACAAAACACAGAACTTTAAATTATAAACCTTTCTCTTATTTTTCATGAAACAACTTATCAAATGTATTCCTTGTTCCATTACAAAGAAGGCACCCTTTATTGTTGTCCATATATGTTTGTGTATGTGTATACAGATAAGCACACACAAACAAACACATACATGCAGATGTGTAGGAGAACAAAACTCCTTGAATTAGAGGGCAGAAACTCCCAGATGATTGTTATAACTTCATTTTTAATTCAGTGTAAAATGGCTATAATAATGAAATAATTTCTTTGTTTTGCAATTTCATATTAACTCACACACCATTTTCCATGTGTAAAATTCTTCAGTGTTTGAATCCTGCTATGGCTCTGCCATTATTTAGGGGTGACAGTTTGGTTTTACTCAAGGTTAAGAGGAATTTGGGGATACCTTGGGGGAGGTGTTCCTTCACTGACCTCCTGCCTACCTGTCTAGCCTCATTTCCTGTTTAATCCTCCACAGCTATACCACATGCATTGTAGACAGTTTAAATTACTAACAGTGCTTGATGTCTGGGCCTGCGACATGCAGTTCTTTTTGCCTGGAACTCTGTTCTCATCTCATGTCCTCAAATCTTCTTCGAAATAGCCTTGCTAGGGCTGAGTTAGGAACCTTTCTTAGTGTGTGCATAGCTGCCAGTATCTCCCTTAATTATAACACTTACTACACTGCTTTATAATTGTTGGTTTGCCTGTCTGATGCCCTGGAAGACTGAATGCCTCTCAACAGCAGGAACTGTGGTTTTAGTTCTCTTTGTTGTCCCAGAGCTTAGCATAGGGTGAATAGGCACATCTGAAGGTATATAGTGGAGGTTTATTGCCTTGATTTGACTATATTGTTAGCTAATGTAATATTTACTTTTTTTTTTTTTTTTTTTTTTTT